GCTGCCCACACCCTCCCAGGTCGACATCGACCTGTCCACCACCACCCTCTGGGTGCGCCCCTGGAGCCAGTTTGCCACCCATGTGACCGTGCATTCATCAATGCCGCAGTCCCTCAGCTTGCCCACCAGAATTGGGTGGGACACTGTGTCAACGGCCTTCTGGAAGTCCAAGAAGATGACATCGACTTCCTCCTTCATATCTAAGTTCTTTGTTACTTGGTCATAGAAAGAGACCAGGTTAGTCAGGCAGGATCGGCCTTGCACGAACCCATGCTAGTTACCCCTCAACATCACTTCCCCTGCAGGACTCTCACAAGAGTGGCCCTTAATAATTTTTTCAAAGACCTTCCCCAGGATAGAAGTGAGGCTGACTGGCCTGTAGTTGCCAGGCTCTTCCTTCCTCCCCTTTTTGAAAATAGGGACCACATTGGCCCTTTCCCAGTCCTCAGGGACTTTACCCGAGCACCAGGAGTCCTCAAACAGCTGTGCCAATGGCTCCGCGATGACACCATCCTGTAGTAATACAAGTTAACTTTAACGCTGAATGAAACAGCTCAATGGCAATAAAGTCCGCAGAAGGTCCCATTTCTTCTCCCTTCAACTCCAAACTTTTCAAACGTACCACCTTGTAACCTCTCCCCTGTATCATACAACTAGTGGAACTGTCCATTTGGTCTAAGATGATGTTGAGGAGACTATATGAAATGCAGCATGTAATTTTACATCATTCTCAAACTGCATTTAATTAGGATGAAGAGTCATGTTACAAATGTGATATAAAAATATTTTGGTCACAATATTACACCAGACACCACAGAGGTGGTATTCATTTTTCTCTACTGGTACAAAGCACAGCTTTCATACTATAGCTGTATTTACACACAAAGCACTTTGCTGGTGCAGTTTAACAGTACTTTCATACTATTAAAGTGTTTTTAGTGCAGAGGTGGCCTTGCAGAAAGTCTATAACAAAGCAAGGATCTGAATCTGGGTCTCTCAGGCTCTACACCATCCTCCCCTCTCTTTCCAAGGATGTCTTGGAAAATATCAATGCCCATCTCACATTCCTATGTCCTCTAGCCACTCATGATGGGTTGAGTTTGGAAACTTCTTTTTGTCATTTTGCAGGCTTTGTCTGTAACAGTGTTATCAAACTGAATTTTGAAAGGCTGCATATTTCTATCACTGCCTGGGTTATCACATGCTTTCTGGCACTGGAATGCTGCATTAAAGCTCGATTAAAATAGCACAAATACTGAATTACTAAAGCAATCAAGGTGTTTCTTTTCTTGTCTAAAACACCACTAGTATGGAAGCGTTGATTATTCAACATCAGTTGCGGTGGACAGGGCATTGTGTGTGCATGTCTGATGTACATATACAGGTTTCCCTCGATTTTATGCTGTACATGCATTCCTGGAGACCGGCACATAAAATGAACCCACTTTACAATGTAATAAATAGGGATAGGTTCCCAAGGCAGTGAGGGAGGGAGGGAATGAGCCTGGGACTAGGGAAGGGGTTAGGGAGGGGGACCTCTCCTGGGGCTGCACAAGGCAGAGGGAACAGAGCAGCATTCACACCAACCCCGGCTGCAGCAGCCCCAGGAGTGGCCAGAGCCAGCTGCCTGCAGCCACTGGGCTGCACCGTGCTCCACCTGTCCCCACTCACCTTTGCTCCTGGGCTGCGCTGTACCTGGTGCAGGCAGCTGGTGTTGGCTGCTCCTGGTTCCGCTGCAGCCAGGGCTGGGGTAAGTGCTGTGCCCCGTGCCACCTGGGGCTCCGCTCGTCTGTACTCACCCCAACCCAGGCTAAAATTCTTTGTCCTGGGCTAAACTGGTCTGTTTTTAGCCTATGGGTCCAGTCCTGAACTCATGATGATGTAACTATTCATTTTACTGCTGATACTGCCAGTTTACATCAGTAACTGATCCTGGAAGAAGGCCAAAGCCCCAAGAATGCTACAGTACCTCAAGTTACTGAATCTCTCTTCAGTACAAATACTGACAAGAAATTTAAAGAAAGAAACAAACTTTCTCTATTTCCTACCCTCAACATTATGCAGTTTTTGGTGTTATTCAATTATAATTTAAAGCGAGGCTAGGAGGCTGAACAATTTTGGGAGGAAGAAGGGACCAAATAAACATAGACTGGTTCTGAATGCAGTGCCAGGAAGGACCAATCTATATAACTTCCAAAAAAGAGGAATGTTCACTGTAATAGTGACACAACTGGAATGGTTACTAATGGACCTATTGTGCAATCATGGTGTAACTCCACTTACATGAATACTGGTTAACTACTTAATACAATGTCAGCCCTCATGTGTTTCCTACTGCTTACACTGTAACAAACTCCAGTGATCTATGGCCATGTGTAGACAAAATGAGGGGTGTGAGGCCCACGACACTTTTAAGCAGCTAAATGTTTTTGTATCGCTTTAATGATGTTGGTGTTTGAATGCCTTGGCAGGATATTGCATATTAATTCCAGCCACTGAAGGAAATTTGGCAGCATAACACACCTTAAATGACTTGGGGCTCAGCAAACTAAAACTCTGAGGAGGAGGAGTTTTAGTTTGCTGCTCCTACAGCTGCAGAACGAAGCACTGGGCTCCATGCAGCCCAGGAAGGCAGGCTCTGCCCAAGAAAAGTGGTGAGCCTGATTTTTTTCTCCACTCCCTTGGAGCCTGCCTGAGCTGCACAGGGGCCCGGTGCTTCCCTTCACGGCTGCACTGCCCCCCAGGACCGCCCAAGCTGGGTGCCTGCAGGCGAGTGCCACCTGGTTGGGGGGGTCACTGCTGCCACAGAGGGAAGCACCAGCCCCCCAGCAGCACAGGGACCACTCCACCGGCTGGCAGCTTGCCCTCACCTCCCTGCCACTGGAGAGGCATGTAAGTCAGGTGTGTGCATGACACAGAGGTTTATTCAGCCTTAAATTGAAGCAGTGTTTTTAAAAACTCACTGCTTCAATTTAGGGCCCCCGTTTCATCTACACACGCCCTATATGTCAAGTGAAACATTGCTTAAATGGATAGAAACTCTTCAGTCTTGCTCTCCACACTGTAAAGTTACTGTACCATTTAGCTGCATATTTGATGTAACTGACTAGGAGTGATCAATCTGAAGGCTTCTCTGGAGTCTTGAATTGTCCTGGTCTTTCCAATTTCAAGGATGACATTAGTGGCATACGGTACTCTAAAAATAAGATACAGAACGCCTTACCAAAGCATGAAAAGCTTAAGGTGGGCTGTTCTAGTACTGGTGCTGAGCACTGCTTACACTAAGTTAGGTGAAGTACATAGCTTTTTTCTGTCAAGACTGCATTCTCTTGAAATTCGCCAGCACAAAGTTTTAGCCCCATTAGTTACTGCATAAGATACTCTAATTTATGAATCTTAAAAAAAAATCTAGCTAATGCCAATAAGAAGAATTTGCTGATCTTTACATAGGGTTTCCCCTAAACTATTTACCTTACCCCAAACAGTGTCCATGGAAAACTCATGTCTTCAGTAACAAAATACCCACTTTGTTCAGACCCTCCAGTGTAAATCTAAGAAAAAATGAGAATTCTCTCTCGCTGCAGCGAGTCTGTTGTTATAGGCAGCAGTGGTCACCTTAATGTGGGGTTGGTCCATGGGGAACTTAGTGCAGTAATAAACGAGAGACACCGCAGATGCTTTCAGGCTTGCATTTCTCATGAGTTAGTTACATATTAAGATGTAAAAGGCACTTTCAGCACTGTACACTGTTACTCTAGTATAACATGGAAATGAACAAGAATGGCATTTAAAAAAAAATGACCCTTGACCCACAGGAATGTCTCATAAGAAAGGAGCCAAGGGCACTTTTACAGGTGCTCTGGGCCTGCGCTGGGGCAGCGCTTTAATTAGAGTGACTTCGAGAGGTGCTTTAATTAAAATGCTACTGCATCTCCTAGATCAGCATCCCCACACTTAAAAATGGTGAATTTTTTAATCCAGAGATGCTGATGCATAAGACACTGGAGGCTGCTGGAGCATCGCAATTGCTACACTCCAGCAGACTCAAATAATCAAGCTTGTTCCAACGTGCTAGAATTCCAGTGCACTGGAGCAGCCTCTGTGCTTGTGTATAGGCACCCCCAAGAGCTGCCCATAAAACCATTTGAGGTTTATTTACCACCCAACTCTTAACTTACCTCATGAATTTCTGCATGGTATGGTGCTGGATCCCAGACAATTAAAATCCCAGTATTGTATAAGCTTTCTGTAAGGAAGTTGTGCTCCTCAACAGTCACAAGCTTGAAGAACAAAAGGAAAGATGATCAGTATGTGTTTTACTCTGTTAGAAGCATGTACAAAAATCAAACACCAAAAGTAATCGCTGAACATAGCTATAGGGTACAAATTGCTTCTCACCTTAAAAAAAAAGGTCTCCTTTTCTACCTGTTTTCATTACCTACTCCCTAATAATGTTATACATACACAGCATCAAAAGGAACAGTGCAGATAGGCTGGTCAGATCACATTTTGTCAGAAAGGTCTTTGGGATGACAAGTTGTAATGGTCCACAACAGCAGCATGTTGAATACCACAGTATCGCTGTCAGTGTTGTTTTCCCCAGAACAGCCTTTACAGCCAAAATTCTAATATTAAAAAAGCTTAAGTCTGTCTGTCTGTCTGTCCGTAATGCTTTATTCGTACTCTGATTGGCTGACAGAAACAGCCAGAGTGCTCCAAGCGTGGGGGAGCACTGCCATGATTCCAAAGCTGCGCCGACGACCGGAGAGAGGGTGGGGAAGCCGAGGCTAGCAGCGCTGGCCTCAGCTCCTCCACCCCGCTCCCAGCAAGAGGTAGAACAGTGGCAGCAC